GTTATCACCTGAACAGCAAAAGATTTTGTGGCCCATAACGTTGGTCAGCTCTACTGAGTGGATGGGGCCGAATGGGCCTGATGGTACGCACGTCATTTCCTCCAATGAAGATGACACCGACGGTCGTTGCGGGATCAGAGCCCAAAGCAGGGTGGCTAGGCCAATTTTGCAGGCCATTGCGAAAGATGCTGATTTGTTTGCCGACACTGCCATCGATCGCAGCGCAACCTCAGCTACCGAGCTTCGGGCAACGTAATGTCCAAGTCGCACAACACGACTCACTCGGGCACCGGTCTCGGAAAGTTGACGTTGTCGCAAGTCGCGCCGGAGTAGGCAAAATTGACCACCTGCCACGGCATGCCGGATTGCCTAACTTGCGTCTGTCCCTCCGTCGCTGCTTGGTCCGACACGAGATACTCTGGCCATTCCGGACCTCCTACCGCTCTTCCAATCGGCGGAGGGTTGCAAGCTGGGAAAGGTGGATGCGAGACGTTTGAATACAGTAATCGGTAGGAATTGCACGAATCTGTGTAACTGTTTACAGACAAGAGATGAACTTTAGCCGGGTTCGAGATTGACCCCTGTACCGCGTGGCAGTTATTGGCTGACTCGATGTCTGGCTCACCTGTCGCCGAATGTGTAAAGATGAGTCACATTTTGAGATGCCTGGGCTGGGCGAGCGGGCGCCGAGAAAGCGCCTGTCCAGAGCGATCCGAGGCATAGAGCCAACTTCAGTACCGTCGAGGCTCGCATCGTGCCGAAAGGGGAGCGCGTACAAAATCGTGTGCAATTGGGCGGGCGAGGGAGGCCAGGCGATGACTCCAAATCGAGACATTGAGGCCCCTTTTTATAGAAGAAGTTCCGGGCGTCAGGCTCAAAAAGCTCATCTTCTCTTTTGGCCGCGATGGTGTGACGACGACTCTCTGGAAAGGCATGAATGAAGCGGGGCCCAAGGGACGCGGTCTAGGTGAGAATGCACATCGAGCAATCTTCCGGGCGTTGTGCAACGGCGCTGCGGCGTCGACCGCAGGAAAGGAGCAGGAAACTGTTTGCTGCTTGGCGTGTCATTCGTCAGCTGAGCTTCATTGGTGAAGGGCTCATCCGAGAGTCATTTGCGCACGGCCTCATACAGTCAAAGTAGACGTGCGATTAGTGTGTGCATTGCGAAGCCAAGCAAGGAGGACCCGGCGTCAAACTTCTCATGGGGTCGACACCCTACTGACATGAATGCGACACCCTACTGACATGAATGAAGCTTGGCAAACGAATACCATTTCCGCTGCACAAAGACCTGCTCCAGTGAAGCTTTGCGAAAGGGCAGGGTCAAAAGGCTTGAGTCGAATTCGTGTCAGCCTAAAGTCTGACCCAAACGTCTGCCATACTAGCTGAGTGTCAAGGGGTCGGAGACGAGCTGAGCGAAGCTTCGACTCGTACCCTGTGCAGGTTTGACGGCAAGAATAGGCACAGCGAGCAACACCTACGGCACGGGGTTGCGGGGTTCAAGCCAAACTTCCATGGCTTGTTTTATGCGGAGCTCACTATTCCCGACGCGGGCGTTCAATCCAGCAGGAAAGCATGAGACGTGGCTCCTCACCCCAGCCCGCGACCGAGTACCCTGCTGCTCGTCAGCAAACCCATACGAGGCGATCGATCATCCGGCTCGCATTCTTCCATTCGCGCCTGCTGTGTGCTGTGTGGCCTGTGAGCGTGCAAGGGTCGACCATGCAGCGTCTCGATGTGGGCCAACTGAACGGATGTTTTTTTGCCGCACGATGGCTTTCCCGCAGCGCCTGCAAGGGTTCATGCATACATCGATTCATGCTCTTGGCTGACAATGGCAGAGGGGCAGAAAGTAAGAGCATGACTTTGGCAAAGGTGCAAAGGTGGGACACGAATCTTGTGTGTGTTTCGAATCAAGAATGTTCAAGGACAAACTTTGCTGAGCTCCGTGGCTTGGCTGGCGCCTGGCTCGGCTGATGTCGTGGTGATGGGTCGATGATGCAAGTCACTGCCGTTGCAACGTTGCCAAAATCGAAAATCAAGTATCAGAATCACAATTGTGAATGTAGGATGGATGCCCTCTTCTGTAGACTCCCTGTGCTCTCCGAGTAGCTGACAGGTCTGTCTGACGGATCTGACCGCCTCTCGGGCCCACTCGCTTGTCACGCGCCTCTGTAGTCAAGAAGCCGATCGCGTTCAGCTCCCTTTTCAGCGTGTAATGTGAGCTTGCTGTGGGCAAGCCAAGCCCCACAATGCGGTCAAAATAGAGCTCATCTTGAGACGCAAGGAGAGTTTGGAGGGTGTCACTTTTGACTGTACGTGGCAGAGTGGCCAAGAGACAGGAACGCTGGACACGCTGAGCCTTCTTAGCTTGCCTTTCCGCAACTTAGCGCCAATCGCGGATTGTTCTTGCCGCTGCTGTGTGGGGGGTGGAGAGTGTGCGATGACAAAGGCGACAGACGATGCGTGCGAAAACAAAGAGCGTACAGTGTGAGTAGTACAGCAGTGGTACCTTTTGTGTCAAGTGGAGGAGCAGACAGCAGGTTATGCGTGCGTGAGCTTTAA